TCTTTAAGGGAGTGACGTTAGATAGGTTGACCAGACCCCGGTGGACAAACTTGCATTGAGGGACATCTGGGTACAAAAACTTGACTCAATAGACCTTAACGTAAGTGACAGAATGCATAAAATCTGGTGTGTGTGGCAGGGTATGGACAAGTGTGGATAGGAAAGGAATGTAAAGATGATTAAGATATTTTGTATGAAATACACAAAAATTCAATAAAAAATACAAAACCTCAAAACAACATTAAATAAATAAATACAGAAATACAGAAATAAATACAGAAATAAAGAAATGACTTGAGTGTGATAAAGGAGAAAAAAAATCTTCCCAGGTTTTAAAGTTGTATAGACCATCATCTTATTTAATATATGTGCTATTCATTGACAGAAAAATATAGAAACTTTTGAGTTTGCTAAAAAAAAAATGAGAGAGAGAGAACTGACTCTGAGGCTATTCAATTTTGTAATTCCAAATATCTGGCATGTTTCTATTTATATTTCAAGTAATTAAACAAGAAATAACATTCTCTGGCACATAAATGAATCCTTTCCTACAAATAAAATATATTTTAAGAGCAAAATAATTAGAATTAATATGCCATGCTGGTGAGATATAAATAACTACAAGCCGTTAGAGAAAACACTATGGAAATTTCCTAGATGACTTTAAGTCAAAATACCAGTTGATCTAGCAATCCCATTACTGTACATTTATCTAAAGGGGATAAAATTAGAGTGTTAGAGATGTCTGTATGTCTGTATTTATTGGATTATTCTCAGTAGCCAAAATGTGTAAATAAATTAGGTTTCATTTAAATATGAATGAATAAAAAACATGGTACATATACACAAAGGAATACTGCTTGGCCTTTAAAACGGGAAAGGAGATTCTTTTTATTTGTGGCAACATGAATGAATTTGGAGGCTATTAGTCTAGGTAAAACGATCCAGTCACACACACACACACACACACAAAACAAATTACACATCATCTAGCATATATGTGGAATCTAATAATGTTGAACGCATGGAAGTACAGAGTAGAAAGACAATTACTAGAAGTTCAGGGAATGGAGAGGGAAGGGGAGAGAAGCTGTTGATTAAAGGCTACCTAGGCAGGAGAAATAGGTGTAGGGATCTGGTACACGTCAGAGTCCCCATAGACGATAACAGTGTATTATTATTCCAAAATAGCTCGTGGTAAAATATAGATGTTTCACTCTAAAAATTTTAAGTAAGCAAAGTAATAGAGATGTTAATTATCTGGACTTAGTCATACCATTTTGTATATATAAACACAATGTCATATTGTTCCTCATAACTATACAATTGTGATTTACTAATAAAATATTAATAAAATAGATATAATTTTCTGAAAGGACGATTGGGGCCAGTGATACAAGCAGTCTGTGAACTGCTCTATGTTGACTGAATTTACATATCTCCTTTGTAAAATGATCTCATTCATGAATGGCACACTATAAATGTTTTGACTTACTAACTTTACTTCTAGAAATTAATTGAAGCATGTAAATGAACTGCAGCTATTTTAGAAAGATCTGAACTTTGTTACGCAAATTGTGGCATCCACACTTATATCACTACAGCTGTGCTTCCTCTTAGTTCAGTGACAAACATACAAGAGTCATTTCAAGATTGCTAACTGACCATGTAAAACAGCATGGAAACTATTTTTTCAGAGATTTTTTTAAGGGTAATAAAGTGTTTCAACTTTCAAGGAAAGATTCAATATTTAAAACCAAGAGAAAACTATAGGTAATAACAAAGGTAAACTAATACAGATACATAACAATTGATCAACTGATAAGAACATAAATAAGTTAATCAATAATAGATCTATTTAGTTCTTAGGTTCTCAGTCCTATAGGAAGAACTACTGATGTCTGACAGTTGGAACATGTATTTGGTTACCCTGGGCAAAGACGTGGTCAAATGTCCTTTGCCTTGAATAGGTTCAAGGTAAAAAAATTGTCTACGTTTCATGAACATGACAAAATATATAGATATTTTGAAAACTATAGACTGGTAAAATGTTATTTTACCTTGAAACATTTAATATAATCTATTCCATATCAATGTCTCTCAAGAAAAAGCATATTTCTCACCTGGAACAACATAGATTATGACTATCATTGTCATCTTGCTATTGACAACAAATAAAAGGCCACAGTAATAATCAAAGCAATTAATACAAATCACAAGAATTATGAATGCTTCCTGTAGTCATGATTGAGAATTTGGGAAAGGTTTTTATAAAGCTTATACAAAGTTACTACAAAATAAATTGCAATTACATAATCTATACTCAAATAATATGATGATCTAATTTGAACAAAATCAGAAAATTATAACACAATGCTGGCACATCACAGTCCTGAGATACTATTTCACATGGAGTTATGTAATCTAAACCAACAGGAAATCTAATTTTGATTTCCCTCCTTTGGGGGCATGGAGTCAGAGTCCCACTGTTAATTTTGTTTCATTTTTTTTTCATAAGGGAAAATAAGGTCTTCCACTGGTTTATAATTAAGTTGTAATAACAGTTATGTAATGGTAAAATAATTAAGTAGTATTCTTAAAAGTATGTTTCATGATATAGAAATTATCTCAAAAGACTTTATTTCAAAATGCACCCATAGCTGGACAGCTGGGGTTGGTCAGGCTGCTAATTTAAGGTATCCTCCGCATCACTGAGTGTAAGCCTAGGCACAGGTTGAGTACAGAGCTTCAGTTAAAGACAGCTTGGCCAACAATGAGAAAATTGTCCTTAACTTTCCTAAAAACAATAGGCAAATATAAACATACTAATTGGAAAAATATTCCATGTAGAACCATTGTGTCAAGATTATTCTTTAAAAACAAAAGCCTCAAAATAATTATAAGCACTATCACTCACTAGTTAAGAAGTCAGTATAAACACAATGCTCTCCCAATCTAATAAATGAAATGTCAACCCTTAGATTATAAAACAAAACATGAAACAATCCAAATAAATTTCACATGGGGCAAAGAAGACAGCAAACAACTACACTCATAACACTTACGTGCAAATGCCCCATGTTCTGTAAGTCACTTTCTGTCATTATTTTGAACTATCCATAATCTAACTTTTATTGATTCATAGTTAGACAAGCATGTCATAATAGTCTGGATAGCAACATGCCTTTCACAGAGAAAGAGAGGATGCAAGAGAAGATTTGGGGATAGTTCTCTTCTTCCTGGCTGTAAAATTCATTGTCACTGTCTTTCTTTCTAGGTATTTCCATTATATAACAACAATGTCCCTATTTAACAGGTGTAGTCTGTATATGGAGTTGATATGATTTAGCATTTCATTTTTTTCATTTAAAAATAGTGAATTGGTAAAGTGAAGAATTTTCAACCATTAATCATTCAGCATTATTAATACAAATATGGAAGTGATATGCAGTGTGTATTCAACATTTTCTATGTGACAGGAATTCTTCTAATGTAAAATTAACACAGTGAGATCAGGTTAGTTTTGTTGATGGAAAATGTTTCTAAATTGTAAAGTTAAGATTTTAACAAGCAAAGGACCTTTATTAAGAGTCAAGCCTTGTTTTATACTCTAAATATGCTTTAATTCTATTAAAATATTACCTGAAATAATATTGAATTCTGATAACTTCATTGGACACCCAATTCTGAAATTGTCTAACTATGAAAATTTGCAAATATCAAAATAATAGATTGAAAAAAATACCCCTACATATGATCCTCTATTCACTCAATAAACTGCCACACTTGTTTTATTGGTCTTTCTAAAAACGTGTTTGTAGATATTAAAGAAAACTTCTAGATTCCATATATTCTGTCCTACACAATTTAATAGGCTTCTCTAAATCACAATAATTTAGTGCTACAAAACTTTTCCTTACATTGAGGCATCGGCAAACAGAAATACAAATCATAATCAATTTTCAGTCAGGTTATGACATATATACATTTTAAGATTTAATATTTTAAATTTAGAGAAAGCAGTAGATTGAAAATCCTAGTCGGTTACTTTCTATTCAAATACATATGTCAATTTTTCCTATTAGAAATGTCTAACAGCATAGGTAGAACAAATGACAAAAATGTTAATTCTACAAAACATTATTGTATTTTATTGTTATTTTTGACAGATGTAAAATTGATATTTAATGTTTATAGTTCTATTATATTTAAACATTTCTGTTTAATAATACCAGTCTACATTTCTTCTGAATGTTGAAATTAGAAATATGACCCATTACCCATATATACAAATCCTTTACCCCAGAATGAGGTGAACAAACATTCACTGTTATAAAACATTTTAAGTTCACAAGTATAATGCTTTTAATGCAATTTGTACATAATAACTGGAAATATATTAGAAGTTTATTTTAGCAATGGTTGCTTTCAGTGATAGAAGCTAATGTGTTTCATAACTGCAAGTTTATATATCATTACAAAAACTGACGGTGCAGCATTATTGCATATTCATACACAATTACAAGGCTTTTAAAATTTAGATTATCACTGTCACTAGTTTTTTAATTAAAAAATTTTATTTATTATTTTTATTTTATGTGTATGAGTGTATTGCCTGCATGTATGTGAGTGCACCCGTGAGGTGCAATGCCGTGGAGGTCAGAAGAGGGCTTCAGATTCCCCTGGAATTGGAGTTAAGGACAGTTCTTATCTGCCACATGGGTGCTGGGAATCGAACCCAGGTCCTCTGCAAGAGCAGTCAGTGCTCTTAACCAACTGCTGAGCCATCTCTCCAACCCCCACAGTCACTAATTTTTGTACTAATATATCAGTAAGCCAAAATGGTATTTTATTATTGATAAATAAATTCATTCTTATTGAAGTATATTTACATGTTCCATTCATATCTATACTTTAGTGTTTATGAAGACAAATACATCCTACATACAATTTTTCTATTAATCTTTTTACCTTTCTATGTTCCTTTCATTAAGCCTTACCTTCAAAACAACTATCACTTCTCAGCTGTGTCTTCTTTGTTGATTTTGTAACAGAAACTTTATTTTTGTTGTGTTTGAATAATGCGAGGCGCACAGACGGATCTACACAAAAAGAAAGATGAGAGAAAAGATCAGCTCTGGGTCACTCCTTCTCTAAAATGCCTTTATGTTTCTTTTTGTACTGGTATTAAAAATAATTCACACTCCATAAAGCTGGTGAAATTGCAAAGCCTTTCAGAATTTGGTAAGGTAAAAATGTGTTCAACATTCATATATTCTTAGTCATGTTATTAAACATATTAGTATAGTGATAGAAATTTTAATAACATTGAGAAAAAAATTAGATATACTTTTTACCAGTTGGCACTATACTTTTGGGGGGGTTATTTTATTGTTATCTATTTTGGTTCCACTATTAGTATTTTCCCCCAAACAAAAAGCTGTTATACTAAGTGAGGTAAAACAGACTCAGAAAAACAAGTAATGCATGATCTCTCTCATTTTTGAATCATAGCTCCAAAACCTTTTTTAATTAATTAATTTTTATCTTAAAAAATTTATTCAATAACCATATGATTAGAAGAAGCATTTATTACAGCTTTAACATAGTCAGTAACACATTCCAGAGCATAAATACATCTCTTTCAAACTGCTGTAAATTTTAAAGTTGAAT